GATTCCATACTCTTAGCAAACAATTGAGGACTGAGAAGGAGAAGGCACAAAGGAAAACTGAAGAGGAGGGAAGCCTGCCCTGACCATTCCGTTCAACATGACAACCTGTTCCCCCACTCCCGGAGGACACTACTGACCCCCCTTAGCCTGCTCCACTTTTTCTTTTCTAACACATCATAAAATGTACATGCTTATTATGATTATAATTTATCATCTGTCTCCCCCACCAGAATGTAAACTCCATGAGGACAGACATCTAAGCATTTTCAGAGATTAGGACAGTGCCTGGCATATAGTAAACATTCAATAAGTTTTTTTGAATGAGTGAATGAATGTTTTTTGGTTTCAGGCCACAGCTGATATGATAAGGAAAGATTAAGATATCCTGGCTTTGGGGTCCCTTGAGTTTGTTGAGAAATGATCGAGTACTCTTTGGTTTCAGGCTAAGGTGGATCTAACAGGCTGGGAGAAGAGAAGAAAGTGTTAAGCTTTCCTATCTTTGGGGTTCCCTGGGCACTGGGAAATAGAGATATCCCCAAAACCCAAGGAGAAAACTAAGATTAGAGTCACAACTCTAAAGCAAAGCCACCTCTATCCTCTAAGAAAGAGAGAGACAGAGTGACAGAGAGAGACAGAGAAGGAGGGAGGGACGGACAGAGAGACAGATTACACATATTCCTGGTCAGGCATTAAGCTTCCTTATCTCCACATGCTTGGTTTCCATGAGTTTCTCAATACAACTTACATTCCTTCAGTCATTTAACAAACACGCATTGAGTCCCCAATTCGCATCAGAATTTAAAATATCTGATTTCATCTCTGAGGGAGATTCCAGCTCTCCAGCTGAGAGCTGGGGATACCAAGATGAATAAATATAGTATGACCCTCAAGAAGCAAAAGTCTAGTGGGAAAGACACTTGTTTGTTTCCTAGTTTAGGATAACATTTTTGGTTAAGGTGAAGTGCAGGAAATGATAAACCATCCAGCTCCCAAGATAGAAGTTTCAAGGAACCAATGATAATTTTTGAGGGAAGAAGAGCATTTAAACAAGGATCCTTCGAGGATGGCTCACTGCTTCCCCCTGGTGGAGATCAGTCACAAGCACGTCGCACGGCTTTCCCGCACTTTCTTCAACAATAATGCGGGCGAGGTTCTGCGCATAGAGGGGTGAACAGCAGCATGCCGCGCCTGCCCTCAGAGAGGTCACGGTCGGATGACGGAGTGAGACCGGGAGACTGACAATCACTATATGGCATGATCAGTTGGTGATAGAAGCATCCATCCATTCATTCATTCACTCATTCATTCAACAAAGTGCAGAGCCCTAGAGGCAGGAGTTGGGCCTGTGGATAAGCAGGGATTCACCGGGAGGACAAAGAGGGAAGGGAATTCTAGGCGGTGGCGTGAGTACCAAGACATGAAATACACACCTGATCTAGGAAACCCCAAGTAACTAGTAGATTTATCCAATGTTTAGGGCTTCAGGGGTTCACATTTCCCCATTCGGTTTCCAAAAAGAAGCCAAACCCTGAGGTACTTTGCAATTCATGAGAAAGACTCTGTACACTGAGGCCCTGGTGAGCTTTCATGGGCTACATATGGGGGGAGGTGCACTGATTCAGAAAAATTTATTGAGAGCCCACTCTGTGCCAGATATGGAGCGGGGAACACAAGGGTGAGCAGAAACAGGGGCGACCCCTGCCCCCTTGCAGCGTGGTGTCTAGTGGGGGAGTGGGGTGTGGAAGATGACATGAGTGAGCCAGATTCAAAGAGAGCAGCCACGTCAGAGGAACTGCCCTGCACATCTTGTTTTATCTTCCAAACTGGACCAAACCGCCAACATTCCAAGAAGTCAGTGAGGACAAGAATACTGTCTGTAAGGACTGAAGAAACTGGACTGTGGATTACCAAATCGCTAACCAATCAAGGAAGAACAGTCCAGCCTTCTGCCCGATGACCGACTCCCAGGCCGATCTATGAAGCACAAAGTAGCCTCACCTCATCCAGCACCAGTGAACTCCGCTTGAACACAACCCACCTCATCCTCCTTTTTCCCATAAAAACCCTGAGCCCCTCTCCTGTAATGGCAACACGTTTTGGGTTTCTACCTGAATCTGCATCTTCCGAATTGCAATTCTAATCATCCACATAAATATCTGCTGTTTGGATGGTAGTGAACTTTTCCTTGGTCGACAGAGGCGTCCATTAAAAAAAAAAAGTCACTCCCCATAAAAGGTTAAAATTAAAATAAAGAGGTGAGAAGTGGCACAGCTACGCACGAGAAGGGCAGAAGTGAAGGAGGAGATTAAGAAGACTCAGCACTGAGTGGACAATCCTTTCCGAGCCAAGCTTCTCTCCACGCTGGGCTCGGCGCTAAGAGCTGGAGGGCCTGGGCGGAAGTGCAGCGCTGGCCACAGCTTTCAAGGACCCGGTGGCTCTAAGGCTGGCATCGGAGGCAGGACGTTGTGGACGGGATCTCAGCCGCCTGGGAAGGGTGGAGGCAAGCCCAGGTGGAGGCAGCGATCCTGGCTCACAACCCACCAGGGAGGTGTGAGATGACAGTGGTGGGCCCTTTGTCACCAGCATTTGGTAAATTATATAGAATAAGATAGAAAAGAATGTGAAATATCAGGCGTAGTAAGGATGAGTATTGTCTCATGGAACTCATTTCAGCTGTGTGTGTGTGCATGGGGTTGCGATATAAACTGCAATTGTTTTTGTGGTCTTGATCAGAAGGGTCTGAAAAACTCCAGATTAGAGGCCCTCTCAAGGTCTCCCCTAGCCCAGGATGACACGAGGGGTGACTGCTGAGCCCGCGGAGGGGACGTAAACGCCTCTCTCAGGCAGAACTGGAGTCCAGCTCCACTTGCAAGGACTTCACCAAACTCAGTGACACAACTCCGATGAGAAGCTATGGACTCAGAAAAGCAATTAAGAAACAGTCCTCAAATGCTCATTCTCACGCATTGCAAGGGCAGAGGTGGGGGAGGGGAGGGGCATAAATTGGTACGAAGTTTCTGGAAAGCAATAGGGCGATGTTCACCAGAAGTCTTAAAGTATGTAAACTCTTTGCTGCAGGAACCCCATGCCTATGAATTCACACGAACAGAATAACCATGGATGTACCCAAAGATACTCGAAGCTGTTTACTGCTTATAACAGGAAAATATGGATACGACCTAAATTTCGAAAAATAGGAGACCGGTTGAATAAACGGTGGCAGTATTCAGGCATTAAAAATGAGGAGGAAACACGTTTATTGACAAAGGAAGATGTTTATAACATTGTAACTCAGTGCAATTTTTTAAAGGAGAGAAAATGGCCAGCTGCTTCTCACTGTCGGGAGAGGAATCTCCTTGAAAAGGTTTCGTCTGTATTGAGTAATGGAGAGGCCTCTCTTAGGAACGAAAATGTTAGTTGAGTCAACAGCATTGTCTACAGTAAGGAATAACATGACCTTCATAATAAGCCAACCAGCAGTGATTCCGTCCCCACAGGGAATATTTGGAAATATCCAGAGACATATCTGTTTGTCATGTTTGGGGGGGATGTTATTGTTATCTAGAGGGTAGAGGTCTGGGATGCTACTAAACATCCTTCAAGGACAGGACAGCCCCCAACTCAAGATCCCATTTGATGTCGACTGTAGCCTTGATTAGGATCTGCTCACAAGAAAGAATATAATAGAGGGCATGCAGTGGGGGATCTGGGCCAATGACATGTTTCAAATATGTCCTGTTTTGTTCATTGCTGTATCCCCAGCACAGCTGGCACATAGTAGTCACTCACTCAATACTGGGTGAACATTTCGTGTTGAATCAAGCAAGGGCAGCTATGGATAAGCATCCGCCCGACTGTGCCAGACTAATGTTCAACAGCGACACCTTGTGGTGGGAACTGAAACAACCGTGCAGGCGGACCAATAACGCTTTTCTTTGGTTGGTGTTTGCAGAACTGATCCCTTAGGACTGAAAAAGGCCCCAGAATTTGTGCAAAAATCATGAGACTAGAGAGAAGCAGAAAGCCTCAAGAGGATAATATTTGATCTCCTGCTCATAAAGGCAAACAGGAGTTTGAGCAATTAATGGGAAAGAGCAAAGAAAGATGACAATATATTTGGACCCCAAACTGATAGAATGAGTCACAGAGGTTATTTTTTTTAGATGGAACCAAAAAAAAAAGTCTCCAAATAATATGTATGGATAATCCTAATTCTATTCTTTTTGTGTGTGTGTGTGAGGAAGATCAGCCCTGAGCTAACATCTGCCAATCCGCCTCTTTTTTTGCTGAGGAAGACTGGCCCTGGGCTAACATCCACGCCCATCTTCCTTCACTTTATATGGGACACCGCCACAGCATGGCCTGACAAGCAGTCCGTCAGTGCGCGCCTGGGATCCGAACCTGCGAACCCCGGGGCCGCCACAGCGGAGCGGCGGAGTGTGCACACTCAACCGCTTGCGCCATCGGGCTGGGCCCCCTAATTCTATTCTTTAAAGAAAGTATGCACATACCTATTTGTCTGGAAGAATTATGCCAAAAATTATACTAAAATGACAACAGTAGGCCCCTAGAGGATGGGGCTTAGGGTGTTATTTTATTTTTGTTAATCCATTTTCTGATTTATTTTACAGTGAATGTATATTGTTTATGTAAAAAATAAGACGTTAGATGTTGACCCAAAATACAAAGGCACTTCAGAATATCCATGGTAAAAAGACCCTGGTCTCCTACGCACACTCAGTGCTTCCATATCTGGACCCTAATTATCCAGAACCGAACACCCCACAACCTCAGAAGGTCTCCCTCGGGCAACAGTTCTCAGGAGCTGCCCTGACCACTTCTGGCTTCCAAACCCCAGGCCCCTCTTCCTCTGCTCACGAGTGGTGTTTACCATCCGCAGTTGACTCTGTCTCGGCCTGGCCCGCAGCTGCGGGCACAGGAATCTGGAAGAACGGCGGCAGGTGTGTTGGGGACCAGCCGCCATCCCCCTGCCTGCTCACCTGACATGTGGACCTTCCGCAGGCAGGACAGGGAGGCATTGAGGCGCGCACACTCCTCCCGGTTGGCTCCGTATTTCTCCACGGTCTCACACACCTGCTCATCCGTCATCTCCAGGAGGTCCTCCAGACTCAGCTGGCCGGGGGTGATCTCCTAGGGGAGGGAGGAGAGGAGGATGGTAGATAAACCGCAGGCGCGGGGCGGGGAGGAACACCGTCTTGGCCTCCACGCTGCCCCCTAGTGGTACCTAGCGGGACACCCGGCGCTGTGTGGATGGCTGCTCGGCAAAATGTTTGGGTCTAGGACTCTGGGGTCAGACAGACCTGGGTTTGAATCTCAGCTTTGCCACTCACTAGCTAGATGACCTTGGGCAAATCACTTAACCTCTCTGAGCCTCACTTTCCTCACCTGTAAAAGGGGAATCTTAAGAGCACATACTCTGTAAGTTAGCACGTATGCTAGGCACATAGTCAACGCTCCATAAATGGTGGTAGTTAATTATGTCTCCCTACACAGCTTCTGAGCTTCTTGTGGGAAGGACTCCATTTTCCTGGTCTTCGGATGGCCCTCAGTGTCTCCTGCTCAGTGTGGACTGCAGTGACATGTCCCAAATCCACGGTGAACTCAGAGCAGAGCAAACTGGACAGCCCAAGTCTCCTGATGGCTGTCCCCCACTCCCTGTTCCTCTCTTCTCCAGCCACACGCTCTAGGATTCACAGTGGGGCTTCAGGGACTCTAAGGGGAAAGGGGCTGGAACCCTGTAGGTTGCTCAGTGCTGAAAAGGAAACTGGATTTGTGGCTGAGTCCCACGGGGCACAGCACTGCATGCTAAGACAAAGTGGTAAGGCTGGAGTATAGCGTGGGGGAGGAAAGGGGCACTGCTGGAGAGATGGGCTGGGAACAGAACAGGTAGGCTTCCCGGCTACAAATGTCTTGGGCAGGTGTCCCTTCCCCACCGCCAGGAACCACCCCCCATTCCCCAAAATGATGCATCCCTAGACACCATAATATGGATACACCTTGAAATTTGTCAAACTTCTATATTTATGCATTATAAAAAGAGAGCCAAGGGGTCAGCCCAGTGGCGCAAGCGGTTAAGTGCGCACGTTCCGCTTCCGCGGCCCGGGGTTCGCCGGTTCGGATCCCGGGTGCGCACCAACGCACCGCTTGTTAAGCCATGCTGTGGCGGCGTCCTATATAAAGTGGAGGAAGATGGGCATGGATGTTAGCCCAGGGCCAGTCTTCCTCAGCAAAAAAGAGGAGGATTGGCATTGGATGTTAGCTCAGGGCTGGTCCTCCTCACAAAAAAAAAAAAAAGAGAGCCTTTATTTTATAGCACTTAATAGTATCCAACGTTTTTACATATATTATTATTATTTAAATAAAAGTTGTAGCTATCTGCGGATGGAGATTCTAGGGCAATAATGTGGAATACTTCTGCCCTCTTGTGGTCATATCTGTGTATTACAACAAAATCAGACATCCCGCCGCCACCACATTAAACTGGCAGCGAGGAGGAGGGAAACTGCACCAGCACAAAAATTCTATCCAAAAAAAAAAAGCACGGCACAAGCCGAAGCCCAATCAGTGCCTTTTCAACTCACTAGGACGGGGGCAGAGAGAGAACAAAAACTGAGTCACTGAGAGGCTTTCTCAAATAGGCACACATGGCAGGTAAGCCCCACTTTAAGAAAGGTGATGGACCAGGATCTGAAGGTACAAAATGAATCGCATTTAGAGGGGATGACTCACTAAATTCTAAAGAATAAAAGAATTCTTCTCTTTGCTGCCGGATTCACTTACGCATTTTAAGTCTGTAATTTACCCCCCAAAATATTCAATTTACACTGAAGTTTAGGGTTCACAAAAAAAAAAATCACAAAAGTAATAATGACATCAAACATGGAGAAAGCCTTAACAAACCTGGGCCAAAAGAGCAGATGCACTTCTGTTCAATAAAATAATCAGAATAAATGAAATGAATGGAGCACTGTTTTAAGTGCTTTTCATGAATTTTCTTTTAAGGACACAAAGACATAAAGTAGTGACTTTTATCATCATCACTAGTCTGTCACTAGGACACTCAAATTCAGAGAGGTTAGACCACTTGCCCAAGGTCACCCAGCAAGTAAGTTTGAACCCAGGCAGTCTCACTTCGGAGCTCTCTCCATCCTGCTGGTTCCTCCACAGAAAGGGGACCTCTGGTGGACGCATGCGTGAGCTGCAGGCAGAGCGCGGGAACCCCAACTCCGTCCCCACCCCCTGGTTGGTGGCCTTGGACTCAAGATTCTCACAGACCAAGGTAAGAGCCAGAGCTCAGGTACCTGCAGGCCAGGTAAATGTAAACGAGCAAAGCTGTGAACTTGGGAGCCCGCGGGATCCAAAGGGGCAGCAGAATTCAGTTCATTGCCACCAGTCACTAATTCCACTCAGTGTGGTCAGCAATTCTGATTTTTCAAGAGAAGCCAGAGGTCCGTTTTTTTTACGCAAACTCTTTCAACTTTTAAATATCGGCTCAAAAAAAATTTTTGAACATCCTATCGGCCAAACAAAAAATGTCTGTGCATCAGATACAGCTCGAGGGCCACCAGTTTTCAATCTCTGGTCTGGAAGATTTGTCGCTGCCTTGTTCGCCCCACTTGATAAATAAATGGTCCCAAAAGCTTCTGAAAAGCATACTGGGCCATGCAAATAAAATGTACTCATACGGGACCTTTCATTTTAAGGATATTTACATGAAACTGTCATCCTGGGAATGAACTAGGGGACAGAACTATACTCCGCCTGGTGCGCATGTGCGGGGTGGGGTGGAGTGGGGGCTGGAGGGATGGAGGGATGGGGTGCGTGTCTAGCTCACGATTGTTAGATCTGGTGGATTCAGGTGAGATCACATCAGGGACAAGGTCTGAAAAAGACAAACGGTGGAAGCGAATCTTCCAGGCCTCTTCAAGCAGGAATCAGGGAGCACTTGGAGAAATGGCACTTGGCCCCGTAAGGGGGGTCACCCCCTCTTCTGCCCAGTTCAGGAGGCCCCAGCAACAGGAAAAGGAGAGGAAAGCACAGTGCTTCCCACCTCACCCTCCAGGGTCCATCCGAGCTGGGTTCTCCTGCTGGCCCCGCCCACTCACTAACAGGATAAATCGCTTCATCTCTGAGCCTCAGTTTCCAGGTCTGTAGGGGATAATAGTCCTACCTACTTCAAAAGGTCATTGTGAGGGTCTAAACACTCTCAACGGTTGAGATCCTGGGAGTAAACCCCTTGGTACAATGCCTGGCACAGAAGATTCAATAAATGTGAGCTGGTTTTATTAGGAAAAGGATTTCGGTCAGTGGAAACAGTGGGGACCTGGGATCTGAGAGGGTAAGGAAATCTCACTGTCCTTGAGACCTAGAGGATGTGGTCCACTCCTTGAGGGTGGACACAAGACAGCACATGTTCTGGTTTTGTTTTGCCACTGGAAAACCTGTTACTTCCAAAGTTTTCAACAACAGCAATAACAATAATAAGCTGACATTTACTGTGTGCTATTAGGTGCCAGACTACGAGCAGAACATTTGAAGAGGAGACAATCATTATCCCATTTAACAGATGAGAAAACTAATGCCCTAAGACTGTGCTGTCCAATATGGTGGCCACTGGCCACATTAATTAACATGGAATACAATTAAAAGTTCAGTTCCTCGGTCTCATGCATTAACCACAATTCAAGTGCTCAGCAGCTACATGTGGCTGTTGGCTACTGCACTGGACAGCACAGATAAAATATGTCCATCAGAGCAGAAAGTTCTGCTGGACCGCACTGGTCCAAGAGGTAAAGTGATTTGGCCAGAGGGACTGAGTTAATAAGTGGCGGAGCTGAAAGAGATTCTGACTCTAGACCCACACTCTTAATGACCCCATTCGGACAGCATCAGAGATCCACGGTGCCTTCATCCCATACATATTTATTGAAGGCCGACTATGTGCCAGGCACAGCAAAAACCCACTGCCCGGGGGGCTGGCTGCTGGGCAGCAAGGGGCAGGGGGCCCGGGGCGCCTCCGGTCACCTCCAGGACTTCCTTGCGCACATCGACGATCCGGAACCAATGCCTGAGCTGGGGGAAGCCGTCCAGCTCGGCGTTGCGCTCCTGCAGGGCCACCTTCTTTTTGCAGGACAGCTGCCGGCTGAAGTACTTCACCAGCTTGCTCTGCGGAGACACAGATGAGGATAGAGGACATGTCTCAGAGGCAGTGCCACAAGGAGAGGCAAGGATCTCCCCACCGCCCCCTCCCCGCCCCAGCCCCTCCAACTCCGTATTTTAAAGACTGGTTCACCTGCAGTGAGGGGGAGACACATGGGCACTTCAGCGGGGAGCCTTGGGGTCGCATCCTTCTACATGTCCACAGCACATATCCTGGACCCTACAATTCCACTTCTAGGAACTCACCCTACAGACACCCCATCCTGCGCAAAATGGCTGTGTAAAAGCATATTTCTTACAGTGCTGTTGGCAATGGCAAAAGATTGCAAACACCCTGAGGGTCCATCAGTAGGAGACTCATAAATGAGGTACATGCACACAGGGAACCCTATGCAGCTATAGAATAAAATGAGGACGCGTGCTGTGGCTGACATGGAACAGTCTCCAAGATACGTTGACACAAATAAACGCAAATACTCTCCCATTCGTGTGGGCAATGTTTACATTTACATATCCTCGTAAATGCGGACACTATCTGGAAAGATTCCCAATCTCTAGGGAAGGGAAGACAGCAGGTGGGGAACAGAGGTGGGAGAAACATTTTATTTAAACCCTTTTGTACCATTTGAATCTTAAATCATATGCAGGAATTCACAAAATAACAAATCTTTTTAAATGAGAGAGACCTGACCCCATGCTTCTGGAAGGGTGCCAGGACATGAGAAAGGAAAGTGTTTTATTGCTAGTTATGTAAAAATTAGCAACATCAACAAAAGAAAGGCCATACATGTGTGCAGGAGCAGAGAAAGAGTGTGGAAGACACACCCCAGGCTGCTAACTGGGACCGGGAGACACTGTAGATGGGGTGAGAAAAAATGGTTCAGTGTTCCTCAATATATTTTTGCTTGGTTTCCATTGTTACCCAAAGCACATTATCATCTTTGTAATTTAAAATATATTTAATAAAGATAATTAACTGAAACAAAAATAAAATCCTTAGGTATGTAAATGCCTTTGGCATTTCAAAGCACTGTCAACCAACATTTATCAAGAAGACAGTTCTGGAATTCCAGATCACAAGATTCGGAGCAGGGGATGACGACAGTGGGCATCTGTTGCTTCCGTCCAGCTGGTCTCCATTGTCCCTTTTGCTGAAACAAATATTTCAACTTTCTTTGGGGGAACTTTCCTTCTTTAGTTCCCAGTCCATGTGGTTCAGGTGAGGATGGTCTCACCCACCCCACCCAACCTGGGCTGCAGGTGGGCATGTGACCTAAGCCTGGCCACAGTATTTGGATCAGGATAACAAGCGAGCCAGGCTGGGCCACCGAGAACCCTCCCAAGAATCTCTTCCCAAGTGCTCAGGAGACAGCCCTCACTTCCCACTAGAGTTGTCGGGAAGATGCCACAGAGGCCAGGAGCTGCCCGGGCCGTCCCTGCTGCCATCTGGAGAGCCTCCCTGAGACTGAAGCCCACTGGAAGAAATCAGAAAACTAAGTTTTTAAGATAACATTAATTTGTTCACCCTACTAATAAGGTGGAAGTTGCCATTCTCAACAAGCCTACATTTCATTGCAATAGAAACACAGTAATCACACGTTAAGCTCATGTACCTGGAACACTTTCCATTTGGAATCTCAATTTAGAATAGAAAATGTCAAAAAAATATGTATTTCTTTCTCCAATGTATTTCTGAGTGAATAGAGTCTGACCTATTGAGACTTCAGAGTGGGGCTCTCAACTAAGATATCTACAGAACTCTCATGTCTTTTATTTTCTGAATTGTTTTAACCATTTTCTTGACACAGGTACAGAAAATCACTCAAAAGAAATAAATATACTTGGACACATCCCCATCATTCTTTGAGCACTTCTTTACTTTCCTGCACAACAAAATTTTCTAGGCTCATCTTGTTCTTGTCCTGCCCGGCTCTGGAATCAGTCATTTCTCCAAGGAGCGACAGTTCCTCTGAGCAGAAAATGGTGTTTAGAAACCAAGATGTGGGTGGTTGGTGTGCTTACGGATACTGAGGTGTCATCATTTCCAAAGCCCTCTGGGAACAGCCTAGGCAATTATGTGCATATGTGCAATGCATATATGTATACATAGATACATAAGTTTATGCCTATATTTATTTTTTTATCTATTTGTATTGATAACTGATACCTCTAATCCCAATCCAACACCACAGAGTTTATTCTAGCTTTTTCCCTTTCCACATTTGTATCACTCTTCTCAGACAGTGAGAAAAATAATCCTCAATATATTTATTTGCTCAATCTGCTGAATTTAGCTATTATCCCAACTCCACTGGGCCACTGCCCTGCCCAGGGCCATCCTGGATTGGACAACCTCCCTGCTTGATGCTCCCCTCATGGGCCCTGACCCCCGCTGGGCTGCCCTCTCACCCTAGCTCTGCTGCCTGCCTCGTGACGATTTTCACAAATGTCTGATTTGTAAAAAGTTTTCTACTTCTCACCTCTGTATCTTAATGAATAAAATTTTCCTTTTATTTCTAATCCTTTCTTGAGTTCTGCCCCCTCATTTTTGAGATTTCTAATTCTGATTTAAGTTGTTTTTTCAGATCTTGACACTTGCCAGTGGATTCTCAAATCCTATATCCAGGCACATCCCCCAACTCTGCTTTGGTTTCGCACACTGAGAAGCAGACGGGAAAGAAATCGATTTAATCTCTATGTCAAATGTCCAGAATGGTAGTCAACCAACCACAAGTGGCTAACCGAGCACTGAGTGCGGCTAGTGTGACTAAGGGATGGAATTTTAAATTTAAGTTAATTTAAATTTAAAAATGGAAGCCATAGGGCCGGCCCCGTGGCTTGGCGGTTAAGTGCGCACGCTCCGCTGCTGGTGGCCCAGGTTCGGATCCCGGGCGCACACCGATGCACCGCTTCTCTGGCCATGCTGAGGCCGCGTCCCACATACAGCAACTAGAAGGATGTGCAGCTATGACGTACAACTATCTACTGGGGCTTTGGGGGAAAAAAATAAATAAAATTAAAAAAAAAATGGAAGCCATGTAAAGCATTTTTCTGTTAAACATAATTTTATTGTTTTGATAAAACCACATTTTACTCTAACTTTGAAATTTTAGGATCTGAATTGAGATATGCTCTAAGTGTAAAATACACACTGGATTTCAAAGACTTAGTAGGAAAAAATAATGTAAAATATCTCATTAATGTTTTTACATTGACTACATGTTTACATAATATTTTGGATGTACTGGGTTAAATAAAATATATTATTAAAATTAATTTCAGCTCTTTCTTGTTAATGTGGCTACTAGAAAATTTAAAATTACACATTTGGCTCACATCTGTCCCTCATATTTCTAACAGACAATGCTGCTCTAGGTTTTTATTCTAAAGAAATAATTAAGAATATTCATGAAGCTTTGCTCCAAGTTGATAATAGCTGTGAAGGATTGGAAACAATCCAACTCTTCAACAATAGGTAATGATGTAAATAAATTACAATGTATTCATATAAAAATAATGTATAAAATATGTATAATATTTATAATGTATAAATAAAGCATTAAAAATTTATTAAACTATATGTGTGGAGATGCATAGAAAAGCCCTGGGAGGGTGTATAACAGAATGTTAGCAGTATTTATCTGATAGTAAGATTATGGGTGACCTATTTTTTCGTTTCCTTCTTTATAGCAATATTAGAAAATACAATGTATATGTATTACCTGCTTATTAGTCGGAAAATGCTTGGATAGGCTGGGCAACACTTTTTTTTTGTGAGGAAGATCAGCCCTGAGCTAACATCCGTGCTAATCCTCCTCTTTTTGCTGAGGAAGACCAGCTCTGAGCTAACAGCTATTGCCAATCCTCCTCCTTTTTTTTTCCCCAAAGCCCCAGTAGATAGTTGTATGTCATAGGTGCACATCCTTCTAGCTGCTGTATGTGGGACACAGCCTCAGCATGGCTGGAGAAGCGGTGAGTGGGTGCACGCCTGGGATCCGAACCCCGGCCGCCAGTAGCGGAGCACGCGCACTTAACCGCTAAGCCACGGGGCCAGCCCGGCAACATTTTTTTAACACCGATGCTCTCCAGTGTCAGTGAGAATGTGAGAAACCATTGAGAAGGCCATGGATGGCCAACTTGATTTGGTGGTATCAACATCGTAATACCCATGCACTTTGATTCAGGACTCACTTCTAGGAATCCGCCCCACAGAAATCCTTACTCACGTGTATACACGGGGTAAGAGGCTGGCTGGTTATTGTAGCAGTTTGTGATTTTAAAACCTTAAAAACAATTTTTAAAAAGGGACATTAACAGAAAAGCTAAATATGAATGAGTTACAGCACATCCACAGAATGGAATACTATATAAACTTTCAAAAATAAAGTAGATTAATACATATTGATTTGAGAAAATCTCCAAGATTTTCATCTTCAGTGAAAAAAGCAATCTGCAAAGACACTATGTAATATAATTGCATTTAAACTTTAAAAACTATATCTGTGTTAATGATATGTTTATGAACACACAGAAAAATACCTGGCACAATACAATGAGCTGTAATAGTAAAAATGAACATGGGGAGAACAGGGGCATTCACTTTTTCTTGTACACATATATTTTTAAAATTTTTATAGTAAGTTCATACGGCTTTGCTTTTTCAATATTTAGAAGAAATTTTTTTTGTGTGTGTGAGGAAGATCAGCCCTGAGCTAACATCCATGCTAATCCTCCCCTTTTTGATGAGGAAGACCGGCCCTGAGCTAACATCTATTGCCAATCCTCCTCCTTTTTTTTTTTCCCCCCAAAGCCCCAGCAGATAGTTGTATGTCATAGTCGCACATCCTTCTAGTTGCTGTATGTGGGACGCGGCCTCAGCATGGCCAGAGAAGCGGTGCGTTGGTGCGCACCCGGATCCGAACCCGGGCCGCCAGTAGCGGAGCGCGTGCACTTAACCGCTAAGCCACGGGGCTGGCCCGAAGAATTTTTTTTAATTTGTGACTTAG